TCCATTTTAATAGTTTTAACATTATTGTGGAAGCATTACATAGTTAATAAACAAGAATGGTTAATTTAAAGAAAATGTATTAGAATTATCTAAATTTAACCATAACATCAAACTTAACTTTATATACAATTTCTAAAATTAAGAGTACCTATACATAAACTAAATGTTTTAAAATACTTTTTCAAAACTTCAAATATACATAAGAACTCATCCTACTATTTATACATTAGTTACCTCGCCACCGAGCACCTACTCCACTGAAATATCATTCTAGGCTTACACCAATCAGACAACAATAAGATGATCATTGCATAAGAAAAACACAAGCAAACATATAAATAAAACAAATGATAAGTTAATTTTATCAAAGAAATAAACATACATTTTAGTTAAGAATAAAATAATTAAACACAAACAAATCCCAAGCATACATACATTAACTTTAGACTTGACCATCCAGATACATGTATTAATGTCAAACTTTGGCAAGTTCTACACTTGTAGTGGTGAAACAACTTGTCCACCTAAGCTACCACACAAGGTTAGTCCGTCTAACACATATGGCCAAGGAATATCATATTATAGACTAAGACCTCCTACTACTCCTCACAACATAACCCACACTTCTCTACTTGACATATGATGGTTATTAGAATGTCAAGATAATCCTTGAAACGTAATCCCTACATCAATACATACACTACTTGAAACAATCATAAGAAATTCCATTTAGAACTTTTTCCATAACATTCTTTAATCATGCATACATCCATGTTCATCAACCATAAAACATCCATAATTTTGACATAGGTAACCATTGAATGTATAAACAAGAATAAAAAAAATACAAAAAGCAGAACATGACTTGAAATAGGACGCTTAACGCCAGGACTGACACCCAGCGAATCAGGTCTCTTCGCCCAACAAGTCAACCTCCCGCCCAACGAATTAAAGAGAAAAAGGGTCCAAACTTGTAGGGGGAGAAGTTGCACTCAACACCCAAAATGGTTGCTTAGCACCTTGGAGTCAAGTGACTTTCTAACTTTCTAGAGCTTAGCGCCACACTTGATTTGGATGCACTCAAGACCTATCCAAATGATAAAATCGGTATCTTTAACACTGTAATTGATTTGAAAACATTTTTATACCTCATATTTGATACCAATTTGCTTAATTGATTTGTGACTCAGTCCATCAGATCAAATCAATTACCATTACAACCCCAAACACTAATAAACATACTAAAGACTCCATTTCAGCAAAATAAATGGATAACGAAGTCCTAAATGACCTAAAAACAAACTCCAAGCATCAAGTTCATTCAATGTACCACTCCCACAAAATTTCACTTGTTAAAACCCCTCTATTTTAGACCAAAAACCAACCATAACTCAGTCTTTCACTCCACTAAGATCTAGCAACAATTCTCAACTAATTATAACATAAAATCCACTAGCTCAAACAACCAAAACAAATAACATTCACCAAGAAATCATAATAAGGCTCTTGCAATACCAAACAACATATATTTAGACCAAGTTTAATCAATCGAGCTTTTCAAAAATCCTATTTACTCAATCTCCACAACTGAGTCAATTTAATCCAATTAGATCGCATTAACTTGGATTATCAAAGTACTAAAACAATAGAAATGAGATATTTAACTTCCCTTACCTATTAGAAGCTTAAATAGCTCTAAAGAATCTAAAAGTGCTTCCTTAGCCTAAGAAACTCTATTTGTTCTTACAAAACATTGAATCATGATCAAGGTACGCGGTTAAAACCACTTATCAATAGAGAACCTAAAAGAAAACTTAAACGACACATGCGACAAAGCCAACATTGCATGTATTGGAAAAATATGAAACTAGAGAAAATAATAGAAACTAACTTACTCTTTGAAAAAACTGATCGAATAGAAATGAATATATTATCATAATGACCACTTAGACACGTCCTAATATTCAAAGAATGAGTTTTAAAGATTTAGTATGTGTTTTAAGTAATGAAATTCATTAACAAAATTCTATTTGTACTTTTAGCTTTTTAATATTAAAATAACATAGTCTCATCATTTAAACCACGTTATCAAATCTATAACTTATTTTCTAAGTTATGACATTACGCAATTAAAAATAATATAAATAAAATTTTAGGCATAAAAAAGTAATATTAACAAAGTATGAAATATTTAGAAATAAAAGAAATTACCGAAAAATATTCCAATACTTACAAATAGTTAAGTGAGAAAACATGGTTATCCCTTAAATATTCCAGTAATTAACATACTTACAATAACATTGATTAAATAATAAATTGTTATCCCTTTATTAATACTCGGAGAAACGTTTGTATTATCTATTTTTTTTTAATATGTGATACTTCGTTACTTTTATATTTCATATAAATATCTATAAGTTGAATAAAAGTAATTTAAGAAAATAAATTTGTATAAAAAGGATTGTAGCTGTAATTGAAGTGCGCACAGTTAGATCAATTGATAATTTTGAAAATATAATTAAGGATAAAATAAAAATATGAAATGTGTAAGAAAAGGAAGAATCGGTCTGAGAACTATATTAACATAGTACATATACGTAAACTATTAAAATTCTTTAAAATTAAAGAGTTCATATACATATTTAAGCTTGTAGGTCTTCGCTTACCATGAAAGGTGTATCAACCATTATCTTATACTCTACTCATATCAAAATAATATGATAATTGTAAAAGAAAAACAACATAGAAAAGACAAGAATGCAGGGTAAGTTAGTGTTAAAAATTAAACTTCATACAATAATTTAACTATATTTTATATTAATTCAACATTTATAAAGTAATATAATTCATATAAACATACATATAATTGACTCTAAACTCAATTATCTAGATACATGCTTTGACATAAGGATTCATTGTAGGTGTACACTCGAAGTAGTATTTATACTCTGCAAAGTCATAAGCACATGGCCTATCACCCTCCTACTAAGGAGGTTAATATTTCACGCTTAAGACTAAATGTATCGTGAAAGTCGTCCAGCGAGACTTGTCTTGCCCATCCAGTATCAAGTCAATGAGTTCTTTAACTTTGATTTCGTTAGTGAGTAAATTCTCGCCCAATGATCACCAAGTCAATAGATCTTTGACTTTGACCTCGTCCAACGAGTATATGCTCTCACAATGAGTTTGCTTAATTATATAGAATATAATTATGTAGATTTATGTCACGCAAACCTCTTCAATTCAGTCTAACACTAACCACAGATACTAAAACAATCAACCATCATATTATGCAAAATTCAATAACTTAATTTACTTCAATTACAAGATCAATAATTCAACACATCAAAATTCCAATCACCTTATATTATTAAAGATAATTCAAATCCCTAATCTCAACTCAATAAGTTAATTTTTATCAATGTAACTAGTTTATCTTATTTGAAAGATGATCAAACGACTTTAAAAGTCCTAAAAGAGTTCCACAAACACATGAAACTCTATCCACTCCTACGAACAATAGAAATACAATTAAGATACATAGTTATGACAATAAATCAACAGAGACTCTTATAAAAAATTCATGCCTCACATGCAAGCCAGAATCGTTTTCATGCACAGAAAAAGAAAAATACACAAATAAAGGAAAAAAGTAAAAACTAACTTACTCTTTTATAGATAAAAGAAACTGATCAGATAGAGTTGAAGATTTCGTCTGAAAGATTATTCCGACAATCTTTAATCTTCAAAGAGATATTATAAAAAAAAGAAAAAAAGTTCTTATAAACAAACTTTAAAAAAATTATATAATTTTAAATAATGAAATTTATTATCTAACTTCAATCTTTAATTTAAGCTTTTAATATTAAAACAACTATGTCTCATATTTAAAACTTGTGATCAACATTTAAAACACAAATTTCAAGGTTCTTACATATATATATATATATAATAATAATTATATTAAATAAGTAATTAACAATATTTATCTTTCACATTAAGTAATATAATTAAAAGTAAAGATAAAAGGCTAGTTAGAAAATGTGGAAGGTTTAAACTTAATAAATATGGATAACTGTAAAGAAACACATAATTTATGTACAAAAGAAACATATCCCTGCTTCATATTTAAAAAAAAAAAAGTAACCAGGAAAAGCTAACCTTGTAGTAATGAACAGGACCAAACTCGGACGACGAAATTCAGCTCCATCAAACGTGTGTCTGAAAATTATATATTTTTTTAAAAATAGTTCTCTTAAAATTAAAACTTCAAATTCCGTTTAAATATTTTAAAACAAAAAATTATCGTAATTTTACTTATTTAATTTCAAAATATTTTATTTATAATCTTTGAAGTATATTTCATAACTATCTAATGAATACAATGAAAAGTTTTGACAATATAAATTTTATGTTCGATCTTCAATACTGTCATTAAAAAACAGAAAATTGAAATCACTTTAAAAACCAAAATTATAATATTTTTTAATATTATTAATTTAGTTATAGTATTTTTTAGTTGTTATGATATAATGGATAAAGAATAAAAGGTATATTTTGTTTGACGGACGTGATTGATACATTATTTTAAAGCTGACAATAAATAATTAGTAGGTGCTTGCATGACATATTATTTTTTAATCAACCCACAGAAATAAATTTTGAGATATATTTTTTAATTACTGATAAGAAACTTAGAAAAAAATATTTTTAAAATAAAAATTAAATGAGGACCTAATCCTAAAATAATTTTAAAGGACCAGGGAGAAAGAAAAAAAAAGTTTTAGAATTTTATAATTAGGGAAGAGAGAAAAATGAATTATTGAGGAGATGGAAACAAAAGAATGACGTGGGGAGGAAGTAAGATATTGGTTACGTGACAACAGAAAGTTTGTTGTGGGGTCCCGCAAGCAGTGGGGAACGCGCTGGGGGAGCGCGTGGGGGAGGTTGACGTCAACGTGCTTTTGGGTTGCCCTAACGCAAGGGAGGGCATGACGGAAGAACTTGCTGTTTCTCTCTCTCTCTTGTTCTTATCCATCGCATTGAAAAGCAGCACCATCACCACACCACACCACACCTTGTTTTCATAAATATGGGACTCTCAGCCTCAGCCTCAGCCATGTCCACCATCTTCCCTTCTTCTATCAGTTGACTCTTCCACCTCTATTCATTAGGTGTGTTCTTCTTTCTTCGCTTCTATTTTTCTCAGATCTGCTTTTTCTGTTTCTCTTTTTCTTTCTCTCCTTTTGTTCACTCGTTTTCGATCTCAGGATGGAGCCTATGGACATAGTTGGAAAGGCCAAGGAAGACGCTTCGCTTCCTAAAGGTATCTCGCTAGATCTTTTTTCTTTCTCAGATTTGTTATTTTGGATGCTTAATTGTAAAGGAATGTATTTTTTTTTTCTAAATTCAGAGAAGTATTTTTATATAGTGTTTGAAAGATCATCTTTCTCGCAGCAACAATGACGAAAATTATTAAGGAGATGTTGCCCCCGGACGTGCGTGTTGCCAGAGATGCGCAGGATTTGTTGATCGAATGTTGTGTCGGTGAGGCTTGAAAAACGAAAACGCTTTTCGAATTTTGTTTAATTTATTGTTGAGTGAAATTTTGTTAGTTCCAGTGTTGTTTTTGAACTTTTTTTGTGTTCCGTTTTTTTTAGGTTTAGTGGTCTCTTGTGTAGTTTTATTTTCTGTGCTGAATGGTGTCTGTTTGTCACACTGTTCTGTTGTTTTTGTGTCAACTGTGGTTTTTTTTGGTAGATTAGGGTTAAATGGTGTTCGTTTTTTTAATTTCACCTTGGGTGTGTACGATTTGTTAGTGACACACTGGTCTTGGGTAGAAAGTAACAAAGGGGAGGGGAGAATTTACTAGATCGTGTTGTTTGACCTGTAAATGATGTGAAATGGAAAGATGGATTTTATGTTTGAGGGTAAATGCATTTTTATTTTTATGTCCAGACTTTTGCTAATTGCGGTTTTTGCTCGTGTATGGTATGTATGGGCAGCAATACATGTTGCGTTGGATTTAATTCTGTTTGGGGTTTCTAATCTTTTGTTCAAATTTTTCTCCTTACTGAATGTGATTTTGTATGTTGATCTGTATCATTATAGAGTTTATAAACCTTGTCTCATCTGAGTCCAATGAAGTCTGTAACAAAGAGGAAAGAAGGACGATTGCACCAGAGCACGTGTTGAAGGCTTTAGGGGTATTTTTCTAATGATTGATCTGTTGTTTTACTAAAGTTTTCATGCGGATGCTTTCCAATTTGTATTTCGTTATTTATTTGATATCTTCTTTGATGTGCTGTATTCTGTATTTTATTATCTTACATTTGTTTTTTGCATGAACAATTGAACATGTGCGTTTGTATGTGTGATTCTCAATTTACTTTGTGTTGTATTGTAGCTTGATACTCAAATGTTGCAAGTGACATTAGTCTGATGAGCTGATTCCTTGATTATACTCTGTCTGACTGTAATCAGAATATGGGCAATATAATTTATTTTCGTTGTGTATGGAATTCTGGATATGTCCGAACATGACTATACAATTTTATTTATTTGCTACATAAGTTTGCACTGTAGCACAAACAATTTTCTCTTGGATGGCGATACTATTAGCTGGTAATGGCATTGGATAAAGATTCTTCGTATTTTGGAATATGGTTCTAAAAGCAAAAGTTAGTAATAACAATGCCGTCTTTTTTATTCTTGTATTTTTATTTGATAGTCAAAATGAAACCCCTAGGAATTCACCTCTTTTCACATCCCCAGTGAGACTGGGCTACTGCTTTCCAAATCACGGAATGAATATCTCCAAGTGCTTTCTCTTTAGCCTGTCCTTTCTTGCTTATTATTTTTCCTGTCCATCCTAAATGTTGTCATGTGCTTCGTGCTTTCCAGACATTGAAATGTGTCAACTCATGTATACTCTTATTTTTAGAAGTAAAAATTGTTCATTCCCTTCTTTTTATGCAAACATTGTTGATAATTGATTGGAGCAATATGCATCTTTGTTATAAATATATATTTAGTATTTTATCTTTGTCGTATAAGATTTTGTTTAGAATCTTTTAAATAAAATGATTTCTTTTCAATGACCAAGTGTTCCAAACATAGTACGTATTATATTATTTCCTCTGTTGTTACTATATTAAATATTCTTGAAAATGTTATTATCAATACAAGTAATTTGTACGCTTTTAAGTGATTGGGTTGGTTATTGATTTCCACATGTTTTTGACAGGTTCTTGGATTTGGTGACTACATCGAGGAAGTTTATGCAGCATATGAACAACACAAGCTGGAGACAATGGTGATTGTTTAATGTTTAATGGGTTCATGGGCATGATATATTACCATTTGACATTAGAATTGTTTGTCTTCTATCTTTCCACAATTGTTTATCGGTGAACAATATTATAAACCATTTCTTAGCTTTTATTTGATGATCTTTGTACCACACTAGTGGAGTTGCCAGCCTGTCTTAATGTCGTCTGTCATAGGGGAGAAGACCAGGTTGACCATGGTTCTCTTGTTATCATACTGATTGCCTGGTAGTATGACCCATGCAAGTGTTGGAGATCATAATGGTCCTGATACCTAGGGTTTACTCCCCTTCTCCGCTATTCTGTTTATAGTCTGTTGTTCGGGAGCATGATCTGTTGTGTGGTTTTGCCCTAGTCTAGGCTCTTGTACGACTTGTAGAGGAACCCACTAAATTTTTTTGGCTGGTGAAATTGATTTATGAATCTCGAATTGTGTATATGGTTCATTCTATATGCTTGTGGGAAAGTATTATGTTATCGAGATTCATGATGCACGACTGATCCATCTTGGCTATTGGTTGATGAATGGCATGGCATTTTTGTTTTCATAGTATCGGTTCTGAATTTTTTGTATTAATGCTCATTGTGGTCACTATTGATCAATATGATTAGAAAAGCGAATTTTCCAACATCAAATACACTATTGTTTATAGATTGGCTTGAGCAAAGAAATATTTTCTGATTGGTTTTTTTAAAATTCCAGCAAGACTCTTTGAAAGGTGCCAAGTGGAGCAACAGGGCTGAGATGACAGAGGAAGAAGCATTGGCTGAGCAGCAAAGGATGTTTGCAGAGGCACGTGCTAGAATGAATGGAGGAGCCATTACTTCCAAGCAGCCTGACGCTGACCAAAGTTTAGAGAGCTAACTTAGGACCTTTATTTTCTTAAAGCATAGGCAAGCATCTCCCGACTCTGTCCTATGCGTTGATTAGCTCGATTTTGCACAAATACCCATTCACTAGTTTGATGGTCTACGTGAATGTGCTCGACATTTGTGTTCTTTTTAGTAATCCATATTTGTAAGTTAATGATGTAATTATTGGAGTTCGTCTAAACCTTCGTTTATTTAGAATTACATGTAAATTATTTCATTTACCTATTGTATCTCCTAAACTAGAAGCACTTGGCTTAATTTTGACAATAGTAGCTATATTAGATTGTAACAATCTATTATAATCTGTTATAGTTAATATGTGAAAGGCCATGAAGGTTTCCATAGAAATTAAGTTCGCTGACAACTTCACATTCATATGCCCATTTAGCTCTAGTCTAATCTTATATTCATTTAAACGAGTTTATGTCACAAATGACTGAACGAATTTATGAGTGAGAATATTTGATATTAACATTTTAATTCTCATGTATTGACAAATGCCTAAATGCCAAAACCAACTTTAGTATGGGAAGTCATTAAAACAAGTTTTGAAATATATTTCTTCTATGATTGGTTTTATTCAGTCAACTAATCCAAAATATTGCGATATCAGTTGGTGAAATTAGTTTTCACACATGGTGGGATTGAGAATTGAAGACAGAATCTTCCCAATACGATGAATATTGAAATAATTATCGGAGGCATATCCTTGCCTAGCCCTGACATGAATATAGAAAGTCTCAGAAGATGGTATACTGATACCAGTTTCAATTTGAAAGGCCGACTCGAATTCAACAATGTGAGTTGATGGTTTATATCCTTTTAATTCATGATTCCTCTTTCTATAATAAGGAACTGGGGTGATGATTTTGGGTAGAATTAGAAAGTTGTCTTTGAAGAAATTAGGAGTAATAAGATGGAGTAGGGAGGACTTTTTGTGGGGCCAAATGGGGAGGTGTCAGTTCGTAGGTAGGTGTAATGTAGTGTCTGGAGGCAACATGAAGCACGAGAATTCAGTAACTCTCAACTGATGAGTGATGATGTCACCACCACCGTGAACCGTTGCACTAGAAGACATGGATGCAGAAGAGAGTGGCACGTTGAGATTCAACAGTGATAGCTTTGGGGTTTGTTTGTTTTGGCTTTATTTTTTATCCTTTTCTACCGTTTCGGGTCCTCAAGTCAAAAGAGTTAGTCAAGCACAATCCCCTCTCCCTACCCTACAAGAAAGTGAAATTACGAACACTATGTCTCCTTAGATTCCTTTCTTTTTCCACTTGTAATGCACATTATCCCATCTCTTTTCGATTTACTACATCAACTGGTGGGGACTGCCCATGTTTCTTTTGTCAGGATTCTCTTGCACCACTATATACCAAAGGAGAGGCCTGGAATCACAAAGAACAATTAATTAAATTTAAGGCCTCACATATCCATCGCCAGGAATAAAAAAGAAGCAGCTAGATTCTCTCTCTGTCTCTCTGTCTTTCCCATCTATTCTTTAAGCAGCAGCCACCCTTTTGGTTTTTCTTTCTCAGATGAATACAGTCATGGCCAGAAGCTCTCAAGAAATGTCCTCCAAGAGGCACTTTCACTGGACAAACAAGGTTGGGACCGAAGATGGTGAAGCTCCCACTTCAGAATCATTCTCAACCCTCATCCAGGAGGAGAAAAAACAGGATGACAAGGTTTTTGTTGCTCCTGAGACTCAACCACCTACAGCAGCCACAGCACATGTAACAAGGAAGAAGCTGCAGGCAGTTGCGGTCTCCAGGATTCGCTCTGTTCTCACTGTTTTCAACAAGAACCGTTTGAACTCATCTTTTGGCCTTGGTTCTCGCGTTGTAGGCACACTCTTTGGCTATAGACGTGGCCATGTACATTTTGCATTTCAGAAGGACCCCACTTCCCAGCCAGCCTTCCTGATCGAGCTCGCAACACCAATCAGTGGTTTAGTTCGTGAAATGGCATCTGGGTTGGTCAGAATTGCCCTGGAATGTGATAAGGAGAAAAGAGCCGAGAAGAAGTCTGTAAGGTTGCTGGAAGAGCCTGTATGGAGGACTTACTGCAACGGCAAGAAGTGTGGTTTTGCAACCAGAAGAGAGTGTGGGCCGAAGGACTGGGATATCCTCAAAGCAGTGGAACCAATTTCAATGGGTGCAGGTGTTCTGCCAGGAAATAATAACAATGGAGCTGAAGCAGGGCCAGAGAATGAAATCATGTACATGAGGGCCAAGTTTGAGAGAATTGTTGGGTCCAGAGACTCTGAAGCCTTCTACATGATGAATCCAGATAGCAATGGAGCTCCTGAGCTCAGTGTCTACTTGCTTAGAGTCTAGTAACCTTCCTAGATCTGTTTATTATACTTAGTTTTCCTCTTTGTTTTGGGTTATTGGTATACTACTTGCTTAGCTCTTCAATCATGAAAATGGTGGTCTAATTCTCTTCTGTTTTGTTTTTTTTTTCATTTTGTTTCCTGTGGTATAAGAAGTGGGTTTACCTTTTTTTTATCTCCCTTTTTTTAGAATAGGCGAGTAGGCTAAGTAAGTCAGGAAGGTGGGGAATATGGGTAACCAATACTTTACAGCAAATTGGTGTGGGTTGGTCATGAAAGGTGTATATGTGTAATTTTTCTTTTCCAATCCTTTAATTAATGACGAGAGACGGAGGTTAATGCAAATCATCATTGTCTTGACACTTTAAGTTGGTTGAATAGCTTTTGCTAAATTCATCATGCCATTTTGTTCAATTCCAAATGGTGAATTGCCCTCTCCGCCGTTTTGTCCTAATAGCTTCTCCATTCAATTAATTCCCTATAATTGAAGTGCTGCCACAACTTAAGTGGATGTAGCACTCTTCCAATTTTAAATTTACACTCAAAAGAAGAAACAAACATTGTGGCCACATCTTATTTTTCTATTATTGGGTTTAATATGTTTTATGTGCCCTTAATCTGTATTCTAATGCTTTCTTTCCCTGTTTAGTTGGGACACTTTATCAGTATCCCCAATCCCACAAAAATTCAGTATTTGGCCTAAAAGTTACTATTGTTGCAATTTTCCTTTTATGCGCAACTATTGTTAGTGAAATGATCCCAATAAATTTTATTGAACCCCAATCATCAAAGTCATAGAAAACTGTGTATATATATGCTAAAGGAAATTTATATCCGATTACTGACAGCAGACCCCATCTTCTCCTTTTTCCTTTTTTTATACATTGGCCATTAACTTTACCTCTTGTTGACTGCTTTTCTTTACTTTGTCTAATTCAAATGCGTGCTACATTTTCATAAGTTTATACCTCATAGTAGTTTGTGCAGCATGAGTTGAAACTTGTAGACTAGCCCAGTTCCCACCACCATTAATGTGGAAGAAGATGGAGCTTTTGCATCATTCTTTTTCGTATTTGCAAGCTAAAAACAGCACTAAAAACTCCTCCAAAATTAAATTTACAAAGAAAAAACTGAAAAGAAAAGAGTGAAGAAGATCTTTTCTGTGGCTATCTGGGTCTCAGCAGTGAAAGTGTGGTACTCTTTTCCTTGTTTTCTGGCTTTCAATTTTCTACTATTTTCCTTGCAACTTGAGAAACCAAACTCCCAAGATTTCTTTCACCAAAACCGAAGTTGTTCATCATCCAGTCATGATCTTCTAAATAAAAGCCAATTGCTGCACATAAAGTCTGGCAAATGCTTTTTACAACCATAATGGCTCCAATTACTACACCAAAATCCCTTAATCCACCACTGGGAAGAGAGATGGAAGAAGAGAGCAATTACAAAAGTTCATTTTGTTTCCACTTTTTAATTTTTAATTGTAGGGTCTATTTGGTGTTGCTGCCTGCATCCTGCTACTAGTTTGGTGGATAACCAATTGATTTCCTGAAGAAAGAAAAACAAAACAAGAGAAGAAGTGACCACCCTGGTGGGCTACATGTCATTATGAGTAATGTTATAATTGAAGAAGCACATCAGGTTGTTGTTTGATTAAGGACAGTCTTTGTGTATATTTTCATAAGACGGCTACCCCATATAAGGACTTCAAGGCACCACCACAACTTGTCCCTTCTCTGGGATATGTGCTGTCTTGGGTCCCACTTCAATGACTGGATCAGATAATTCATTTCATTAAAAGATTCCAATTTCAGATGGAATGCAATGCAGGGTCAGAAAATTTCATGTAGGGTCTTGGAAAATATTTTGGTAGGTCCTCTGGGCCAAGGAACAAGAAAAATTGCTTGGATGAGTTTATGTCTATAACATTAACATATGCTTGTTGTCTCTTAATCCAAACGTAAATAGCACTACCAATAGTTCCATCGTTAATGCTGAGTATATGAAATGTCTAATCATGTGTTAATGTATCATATTCATGGTTCAAAAGAGTATCCAAGATGGCAAAGTCAATACAAAGCTCTTGTCAATTGGGTATGAAAATTGATATAATATTAATAAATGAGTTTATTAGGTAAGATATGTGATTACTTATATACTAAAAATTGGTTTTATATAATTAATACGAGATTTTGAACATTTATAAAATTATTATCAAAATTAGAGTCATATTTGTTGTATTTGTTGGTTATTTTATTGAAGGAAAGGTTGAGAGAGTGGAACAGAGAAAAATGAGAGAGTGGAACAGAGGAATATAAAACTGCTTAATATTAATTTTTGGAGTGCAATTGCTTTTATAAAGCAAATAAGTGAACGTAAATGTACGAAAATGTTGGCCTCTATAACCACTAACAAACTAGTGCTCTTAGTGCCTAGAAAATAGCAAATAAATTCTACTAGTCAACATGACTTTTATTTTCCTAAAAAATAGCATAACATATAATTTTAATTTTTTTTAATTTCCAATAGTCATTAATCAACACTCCTCCTTGACTTTGGAACTGCAAACTCCAAGCTTTTGTCTCAAGAACTCAAATCTAGATTTTGGAAGTGCCTTGGTTAGGATATCAGCAACTTGATCTTCTGATTTGCAGTAGACTAGTTTCACTTGTCCTTCTCTTTGAACTTCTCTTAAAAGGAAAAGTTTTATCTTAAAATGCTTTGTTTTGCCATGAAAAACAGGATTATTGGCAATTGAAATTGCAGCTTGATTATCAACAAAAATCTTTGTGCTGTCTTCTTGTTCTATGTGTAAATCAGCCATGATCTTCCTTATCCAGACAGTTTGATTTACAGCAGCTGCAGCAGCAACATACTCTGCTTCTGCTG